TATCTCAAGCTTTATGCTTGATTTATTTGTAACACATTAACCTCAAAACCTTCTCAGCTTTCTCTTTCTGCAAATTGTATGGTGTAGCGATATGATGACAGCACCCAAAATACTATCAAACACTCCAACGCAGCTCCATTCTTCGTGGAAGATGGATAAAAAGGCGCACAGCAAACAAAAACCTCGAAAAATGATATGCGACCCGCCAAATGCTGGCCGAATCACAGAGATGCCGATTCGCACGAGACTAATATTATCACAGGACCTCGGTGTTCGGCGAAATATGGTAGGTCATTTGCGTGGGAATTTTTACTTTACAAATTACAGACATGGCCGATTCGCACGGGATTAAGATCACAGACAACCTCCGCAATTATTACAAATGACTGGAGGTCACCCCGTAATACTAATCCCCTGTGAATAGGGCTTTAGTAACACATACAGCTGTTCCCTCACCACAGTGCAACACCCCTTTCAAACAGTGTCGCGTTCCGAACGTTGATTAAGTGACATATACCGGTATTGCGGTATTTTAAAAATTCATATCGTAACAAAAATAAAAGCCGGTATTCGGTATGAACCGGTATACCGCCCAGCACTAGTCTGTCAGTGTGAAAGAGATTGATCAGTCTGTTCAAACTAACAGGTGTTGAGTAGATACCCACTGACGTGTGTTTGTGTGTGTAGGGCGCCCTTGCATTGTGCTGCCTCCTGTAACAGCGTGCACCTGTGTAAGATACTGGTGGAGTCTGGTGCTGCCATCTTTGCCACCACTATCAGCGATGTAGAGACGGCAGCAGACAAATGTGAGGAGATGGAGGAGGGTTACATACAGTGCTCACAGTTTCTCTATGGTAAGAGTGCCTTTTCCTCAGAATGATTTTGTGCTCTCATACCATCCATTTTGAGAACTCTGTTGAATCTAATGTGAAAGTGGAGGCAGTTTTTGGGATCAAATCTAAATGCAAGTTACTCTACAAAAGATTGAGAGACTTGAGTCTCAATTTATGAAAGGGGGGGGATTCCAGAACAACGCAATTCTGTTGTGTGATCTTTGATGTTCACTCACTCAGTACACGCATCATTTGGATTAAAACTAAATCGTAAAAATAAGACCATTTATAGGGGCATTCACTATAAACATCATTTATTTTCAATCTTAGGCATACACGACTTTCAGGCGAAAGTGAATCTAGCCTGTGTGAAATGCGCTAGGCTGTACTTGTCCCTCTCATTCTTCACTAGTACAAATACGTGCGCGCGTTGCGCGTGTTTTGCTTGCTTGATTGTTTCTGCATTATATGAGTGGCTTTGGAGCCCACTCATATATGAAAAGACCGTTACCAGGGTGGTTGGAGTCCTTGATGATTTTAACAGCTCTGTTTTTGCTGCGTTTGAGGTAGATGTCCTGTAGAGAGGGGAGAGCAGACCCTGATGACAATATCAAACCAAAAAAGAACTAAAATGCTTTTTTACAAACACAAATAAAACTACAAATGAATAAAAGGCTACATATACAGATAACTTCACTTTGATATTTATTGATATTATAGTTTTTTTGTATAAATGTCATTGAACGTTTTTGCCAAGTTCTCATTATATTTACACTGCTTTAACCAGCAGATGTCCTCAGAGTACAGAGTTTAGAGCACTTAGAAATGGGAAACACCTGATTCAAAAATTTAAAAAGCCTCACTTTTTTCATCACTACTTGCCCATTGTCCAGCTTTTAGGCGTAATCAATGTAAGAATTCTCCAGAAATCCCATTAACATATCTAGAACACTACCATTCAAAAGTTTTGAGTCAGTGTGTATATATATATATATATATATATATATTTATTTATTTATTTATTTATTTATTAAATAAATGCATTTATTCAGCAAGGACACGTTAAATTTATAAAAAGTGACAGTAAAGACAGTTTTACAAAAGATTTCTATTTCTATTTTTTTTTCTATTCTGAAGAAAGTATCAGATTTTCTACATATATCAAGCAGCACAACTGTTTTCACTGATAATAAGAAATGTTTCTTGAGCATCAAATCAGCATATTAGAATGATTTCTGAAGGATCATGTGACTGAAGACGAGTTTAAAATTCAGCTTTACCATCGCAGGAATAAATTGCATTTAAAAATATATTAAGATAGAAAACATTTATTTTAATCTTTCTAATATTTGACTATATTTTTGATCAGATAAATGCAGACATGGTGAGCTTCTTTTATAAATATTTAAAAAATCTTACCAACCCTAAACCTTTAAAAAGTAATGTATGTTGATAAATAGTATTACTCAGTACTCACCAGTATAATTAGATGTCATTGTTTTTTTGTGTGGTGCATATGTTAATGCTGTAATATCATACTGAATGAGATATTACCTTGCCTTCTCTCTGTGTTTACAGGTGTGCAGGAGAAGTTGGGAGTGATGAATAAGGGAGTTGTGTACGCGCTGTGGGAGTATGAGGCTCAGAGCGCAGATGAGCTTTCCTTTCAGGAGGGTGATGCCATTACTGTCCTACACAGGAAGGACGATACCGAGACAGAGTGGTGGTGGAGTAAACTCAATGACAAAGAGGGCTATGTGCCACGGAACCTATTAGGGGTAGGTGCACACACGGGATATAGCAGTAGAGTATCTTTTATTATGTATTCCAGTGATGCAAACCTGAAGTTTCAGCAGCCATTACTCTATTTTCAGTGTCACATGATCCTTCAGAAATGATTCTAATATGATGATTTGCTGCTCATTAAACATTTCTTGTTATTATCAGTTGTGCTGCTAAATATTTTTGTGGATGAATAAGTTCAAAAGAACAGCATTTATTTGAAATAGAAATCTTTTGTAACAATATAAATATCTTTCACTTTTGATCAATTTAATGAATCCTTCTTGAATATATATTTTTAAATTATTTTTATTATTTGATTCTCTGTAGCTTTACCGCAGAATAAAACCATGTCAGAGGTCTCTGGCGTAACTCTCTCGACTCTCTCGACTGACCGGACTGATGTCTCGAGGTGTTGAACCTCCGTCTTTCACCTCTATGTGCCACTTGGACCACAGAAGGGCTGAAGCTGCTAAACCCTGAACCTGGAGGCACTATTAACCGCACTACTCAAACACACTCTCCAGCGAGCACCAGGCCAAACAAGCAGCCTCAGGTTTCTCTGTCTGCCCCCATCAGCTCAGCCACCAGGCCTCCGTATCTCCCACTTCACTCCTCGCACGCTCTCTTGTATCCATGTTAAATGTATTATAGCTGTACATCACACTTTGGGGATCAAGCACTAATCACTGACGAGAGCTTTTCTCTATTTGTATTTGCTTACCCATGATGCTTTGCAGAGAAGACCAGGGCAGGCAGTGCTCTTTGTCAGAGAGAGAGATTCTCTATACTTGGAATTGAACTGGATGAATGAGAGCTGAGGTTATGTAAGCTTAAAACAAAGGACTTGTGTGTGAATTTTATAGCTTATATCTACAAAAACGAGTGTATAAACTGGAAGTATATGAGAGCAGAGAACAAAATATAAATAGTTTGCGATTATTCTGATCTATGACTGAGGAATCCCATAAACTGATGGGCATGCATATGATTCATAAAGGTGCATATAAGTGAGAGTGTATGTGTTGCGTATGGGATTTATGTATGAGTTTGAATTTTCTTTTTTCACTGCAGTGAGCATCATACAGAAGTGTGAAGTGCTGAGAAGAGTTTTTCACAGCATAAGAGTGTTTTGAAGAGTGTATGTGTGAAGTGTTAGAAAGATTGAGATGAACCATCATTTATGAAATCAGTAAGTATTTAGCTTACAGTGATTGACACTATACGTTTTTTGTCAGTTTGTTGTCTGTAGAGGGTTTGGCTAGAATTCCACGGCTCTGATGAATTAAGCTGAAAAATTTCTCTGCATTTACATTTATTTTAAACTTTTTTGTTTTTAAAAGTTTCTTTATATTATACCAACCCATTCCACTCCACTCCAGTTTTTAGTCATGTGAAATGATTTTTATAATCTGCTGTTAAGGCAGTGAAGAGCTTTATCGTGGAGTTTAACCTTGTAAATACTGTGATGAGGACAGGAGAGGAGACCTGCTTGACTCGATGCTGTTAGACTAAACTGCCCGTGTGGGCTTCTGTGAAATACAGCGACTCGCACCTTGTGTTCTATACATGACAACATAATAAAAATAAATGAGTCGTAGCAAGAAATCGTGTCACTTTGTGTTATGCTCATTGCTCAGTCTCTCCCTCTCTGCTTTTGCTTTGGAAATCGATTTTTTAATCCAGTTTTATGCTTTTTAGTGGCCTAAAACAGCCAACGTTGTAGTCGTATCTGGTTGTTAGAAGCAACACCCATTGACAGCTGATGGAAAGTATATATTGAGGTAAGATGAGATAAAAGTTCTTTAGCTGAAAGGAAAGCACTATATTTGGGGCACAACAAATTCAGCCCTGTACTCAAATGCAACTATGGACACTAGTTCCATCATTACTATAGAGTTCAGTGGAACTTGCTGCAACCAATGCTTTGGGGAAACGCACCCCAGATCTCATACTGAGTGTGGGAGGAGTAACCACATCATGCTGGAGATCTACCAACTGAAGAGTTCAGTTTCAATGCTTATCCTGCTGTAATTATCGAAGTGCTTCTTGATAAATTTTGGCCCGGATGTTTTTTCATTAGGTGCAATAGGTTAGAAGTAATTTGATTATACTCCGTGTATTTTAAATTAAATAGCTAAAGATTTTTGTTATTCAGCTAAAAAAAAAATATATATATATATATTGATGGTGGCTGAAGTTGTATTGATGTCAGATGGTGCATGTTACTTTTCTCTGCGCTGTCACAGTCTGGCCAATCACAGACGTTTTTGTTTTAACTATAATTAATTTTATAGAGATTGAGCCGTTTTTCAATGTTGGTGTTACCTAACTACCTAAAATAGTATATGCAATTAAAATGTCGAAGAGTTTACCTTCGTTGTTCAAACGTCTCAGAAACAAACAAAAAAAATGATATTTCCTCCTTTCAGCGTTGACTAAACCTGTCGTATACGGGAAGACTACTGTAATGAATGCTTGTAACGTAAGCTGCATTCATGGTTTCCGCAAAATGGTTGTTTTCTCAACTCAGCACAAAGCCAGCATTAAAAACGACCAAAACAAGCGCAATGAAGATACAAGCAAGTATAGTTCTTTTGGATTCATCTCCCATTATGGACACTAGGTGGCAGTACAAGACCGTTTTGACAGCAACTTAAAAGGGTGGAATTTTTTTTCAAAGCTTATGCTTTTTATAAATGCAAAGAAAAAGAATTCAAAGTGTAAAGAAAAGGCCTAGAATACTTGATATAAAATGCGAAGAGAGCTACTGTCTCTTGGGGGGAAAAAAGCCATTTTTTCGATTATGGTTTCTCTAAAGCAAATAATGTCCTTGTTAGTCTACCTATAAAATAACCTTCAAGTGCAGGGATTATCCTACACGCTATAAACACCACCAAATTAAAAACACATTTAACAGGTCTGTAAACACAAACTAAGCCTCCGAAATAACGCTAGAACACCACCTCAACAGTGCCTTTGTTTCTGGCATCTGGACACATGCAGAATCAAAGTAAATTAGGTGATGGATTGAAAACTACAGCAAACAAAATTTAGTTGATCTTTTAGCAATAACACATGCACACAAGAAACTCCATGGGCCAAAGAGACTTTATTTCTGCTGTTAAGCTCCATCTTCAACATTGCAGGAAGTTTGAGATACAAAATCCTTCACACTGATGGAAGACTCGTCTAACTTTAGTGCCACTACCATTTGGGTGGAGTGTATGTTCCTTGACGTAGTTAAGATTATTGGTACTGGAGGAAAGGAGGACTGGTGGAGGCAGGGAAGGAGTTAAGTTAGGAGTCACGAAGTGTTCACTTCTGCTCAGGCATAAGGTCATTAATTGACTGGCCTGCCTCCAGGTGTTTCTCCATCTCTATAAGCAGCTTAACTCCATCCACTACCATCTGAACCAGCTCAACCTCAGAGAAGCCCAGACGGTCTGCATTGGAGATGTCAAAGACACCGCCTACTGCAGCAGTGTCAACTCCACCTGGAGACGAGAGCAAGTTTAGTACTGCAGATTACATCCGGTACATGTAACAGAACTGCAGGTGAACATGTACCTGTTCCACGCTTTTGGAGCCTCAGTCGCTTGAGGATCTCACCAAACTTCTCATGCTTGCTGAGGTTAGGAAGTTTGACATGAACGCCACCACGCAACCCTGTGCCCAGGTTGGAGGGGCAGGTTAGGACGTAGCCCAAGTGCTCGTTCCACATGAACTCATGGCCCTTCTCTTTAAACAACTCCTCAATCTGCAGGACAAACGAGTTAGGATTTAACAACGTGCCAACACTGGAGATGCTGGCAATGCTGAAGAGCTCGGATTGATTAAAAATCAACCTTTGTGAGGCCTGTGCAGAAGCGATTGAAGACTTCCTTCATGTTGCCACCTTTCTGCATGGAAATAACGCGAAGGTGGTCTTCCTCATTCACCCAGACCAGGAATGTCTTGTTGTCGTTGTGCCTATAAAGCATTATGAAGATTCATATTTTAGTCATTTAAAACAAAGACTATAGAATACCCAAGACGTGTCACTCATAGTTTTGAATGGGGAAAAATGCAATGCTCAATATGGCCACTCTATCGAACGAAGCCCCGCCTTCTGAGCAAAAGAGCCAATCACTAATCGGTAAGGTCAGCGTGTCACTGCAGCAGCTGCCTTTAGAAGTACTGGTTCCTATAGAAACAGTCAACGCTCTAAGACATGCGGTTAGGACTGCGCATGCACACTGGCTGATCTAGCCTGAAAAAGAAGCTTTTTATAATGCTATTTGAGCAAAATAAATATTTATGATACAGCTGTTGTCAGATTTTATTGGTGATTTCAAATATGGAATTTAATCATAAGCTTGGAGACCAGTTTTGGAGAATTTGATGTTTCAAAGAGATCTTTGCATGCCCGAGAGGCGTTTCAAAGATGGCCACTGAGTGACGTGACTTGCCTTAAAGGGACTTTGTTTAAAATATACTAGTCAACATTTGAAGTGGATCAAAACCTTTCATCAAAGTAGTCCTAAAACCAAAATGCGTTCTTGTCTTAGGACAACTTTGTTTAACTTTTTTTGATACACTTCAAATGTTGACTGTACTATATCATATCAATATTTTTCTTATCTTAGCACCAAAATGTTCATGTTGAGTTGAAATCACTCGATAAATTGTTGTTAGTAATAAATAAAATGCAAACACCAAATAATCTTTATACTGGACAAACAAATCAATTCTTTAATGTTATATTATATTAAGATGGCACCCAAACGTATCCATTTTCTAATATAAAATACACATTTTATAACAATATAGTTATAATTATAATTTAATTGATAGGATGTTCTCTTATCAATTAAAAATCTTACTCCAAAAAAAAAAAAAAAAAAAGTAATAAATTACTACAAAACCAAATCATTTTAATAAAGGGTAAATGAAAAAGAAAGAGATAAAATGTATATAATTTTATAATATATTAAAGATAGAACCTAAATGCATACAATAAATATAAAAACGGTACAAAATGCCAACATTACTTTTCATATCAAGCTGGAATTACCCATTAAAAACATTATTATTAGTAGTAGTAGTAATCTCCATATAAGAAATACATACAATTTATATAATAATAATAATAATAATAATAATAATAAATCCTCCAAGTATTAAGATGGCACCTAAATGTATCCATTTAGTACGGAAAACTACGCAGCCCACCGTCATGATGAAAGGATGACCTGGAACACAAAAGATCAGCATGGTGGTGACAGCAAACAGATTGTCACAGGCAAAGGCTTAATATAGCCACACATCATGTTTATTATCACATGGTTGGTCTTGCAGAAATCATGAGATTCGAGAAGACAATTCCCCTTTTGTTGGACTTCACACATAACACCTTAGGGGCCGTTCACTTATCGCGTCTTTTGCGCGCTCAATTCCTTATTTCCAATGTAGACGCGCGGCAGACGCGCTCATAATGGAAGCGACGCGCTCATTTTTCCCAGGCGCGTCGCGCCGCATCGAGATAAAAACATTTCAACTTTTCAGAATGCCGCAAGCGCACCGCGGGTCATGTGACAAGAAAAAAACAATCCTTTCCCGTAACAACATTGAAAGCTCTGCCAAGATGAAGGAACAGCTGATCATAGCTGTACAGGGATAGCCATTTTTAAATAAGTTTAGTAGCAGAGCTACTGCAAGCGATTTTAGTGCTGCAAATCCATTTATCCTTTGCTGAAACTTCCGCGTCTTCATGGAGAGCGCAGGTCATGGCTGCTTAGCAACGGCAGACGTCTCCGGAGCGCAAGCGCCCGAACGCTTTGGAAAAAAGCAGAAAGCGCCTAGCGTTTTCCACGCGTTTTCAGGCGCGACATGTGAACGGCCCCTTAGACGGTCATTGCAATTTTCTCGCAGAGTCAAGTGCATTGGGGTAAAAAAAAAAAAAAAAACCAATAACTTGCATTAGCCATCAGGATAACATCAGGGGGCATGAGGACTCAGCAAAGGATGCAAATCAGAATGTTAGTACAGTAGAGTTCAACTAGGTTCAGCGTCTCTTCGTTTGACACATCAGGCCCAAGAAAGCATTGAATATTACGTACGTACTAAATGTACGTTTTTTGAAAGCGCTAAGCCTAAATGTGCAAGAGTATCTGGACTCCATAGAGATTCAGAACTGATATTCAAGCTTATATTTGTCCTGTTTTTAACATCCAATTATTAAGCTATGCACTTATCGCATGACAATGAATGTGGTCATTCAAAATTGTCCATTACACAAATTGTTTAATGCATTACTAGCAAAGTATTTAGAGACCCACTGAATTGTGCCTATTATTAGCAAACTGCATCATTACAGCACAGCCAGGAATCATGATTTTTACCTGCTCAATTTCGATTTCAAAGACCAGCCAACTAGAAATGCATTCAAGCCATTTCATCTTCAAAGAGCTTGAAAGTGTAGCCTGTGCCGCCTTTTTAATTTACTTTGTTTGATAACTAGTAATGAAAAGCACCAATTATATGTACTATACTGGAGTCTGAAAATTGCATTTGTTCGTTATTCATGTTAGATTTGTGACAGCTTGGCGATTAAAAAAAAAATAAAACTTGCTAGTTGGCTGCAGGTGCTATTAGGGGGAGAGACATTCTCATTCTAGAGTAATGTTATATAATTGGTAGTGCAGGATGAGTCATCACATTTTCGGACACTTTCCTCCCACTTTTCTAACACATGGATTACAAGCCGCAAAACTCAAATTTGCAAATCAAATCCTTCGACATTTGGTCACCCTGCACCCAAGCGCCGGCTGAAACAATGGTACTCTGGCATTCTGAAGACGGGTCGTTTACCTGGGTTGTCCACCCCGGTTTGAATGACGTCATCCACGGTAAATCCGCTGGAGGTCTGTTTGTCCCGAAGGCTCGCGTACATCTCGAGCGTCAGCACCTTCGCCATGTGGTTGTTGTGCTGGCTGAGGTCGGGATACTCCTGCTCGGCGGTGAAGTTCATCTTCAGCTGATTGTGAGTGTTACCGAAAGGCATGGTTGCGTCTACCTGGTGCAACTATTTGGAAACAAGGACGCGTTAATTAAAGGCGAATTCAAATCCGATTCCAGCACAAGGAAGGACAAAGCCAGCCCCTTAGCTGCATTAATAATGACGTAACAGTATTAAAGCGCATTTTCTAAAACGGAGGAATTAGTTTAAATTCGCTTGAACCGTTACATCAACAAACGGTCGTAGCATGACGACAAATGTGCTCGGTGACGCGTTACGTCATGCAGGCAGTAAATATGATGGAATGTGGAGCGCGCGTCCGATAAATGACGAGTCATTCAAAATGCCTTCAAATGCATGCAGATATTGCACGTCATGTAATGCCTTCTGTGCATTATGAAGGTCTTGTATGGGAATAATGTATTACTCTTTTAAGCATGCGAATGCGTAATGCGCAACGTCTCCAAAGACCTTGCAGAGAAGGAGGCTGACTGCAAAATCGTTGCTGATGTTTGGGACAAAAGCACCTTGTCATGCACGCATCCGCATTCTTTTGGCCAGCATACCATTTAAAGCGTTTACATTGACATTACTATGCTCTCTACACGTTTAAAGAGTTTAGGAAAACAAACGGCGCATTGCAAATTGCCAGCAGAGCTTAAATACGCGACGTCCCTTTGAATATCGATGCATTCCTGATAATACTTTAATCATTAATATAGCCCACAAATGTATGTTTTTGTAAATTGATCTGGCAGCGTTATGTCATATTTTCGGAATATTATAATAATAATAAAGGCTTGATTTTAATGATCTCAAACAAAATCCATACCTTACACTGATTTTCTTTGGGGAAGCGGAATTAATCCTTCCTAAAGTCCACCAGAACCCACACAAGACTGATAATGGTGTCCAGAAATAAGCGGCTTTGTTGGGTTTTTATATCAAGCCCGAGCTCTCCGCTGATTGGACGCTATTTGAGTCCATTCATTCTATTGGACAATCACATCCACAGCATCCAGTATTTGCTTACATTGGTCACATGCTGTTTTTCCTTGACCGCTCTTCTTGTCATGATTGACAACTAAATTGAACAATGTGGAGTTCGATCACATGCATTTATCAGACTCTTATCTAGCATCTTAACAACTGTGTGATCATAAAAATGTCTAACCTGTACCTACGAACCGAGTCCCCAATATAAGCTAGGTTTTTAAAGTAAGTAAATTAGATTTATTTAGCCTATTTTTCTTTTTATTAAGAGAATTAACTTATATTAGTAGGCTACATTATAAAATGCTTATCAGATTGTGTGAGTATTTATTTATTGCTATAGTCTTCTTCACAGACCCCCTGGAAAACTTTGAGGGCCCCCATAATCTGGTTTGTTGTTCTGGCTGAATAATTTATGCCACACTGTTTTAAAGTCTTTCTTAACCGTCTGTCTGTTTGTGTTTGTTTAGCTTTTAATATACATCACCATAATGCATTATCCATTACTTTGTAGTGTTGAAGTGGTTTTGTTTTCCCAGGAAATGAATTTTGGTTAGCATTTATTGCTGGTTTCATGTTGTCGTCTTGTAGATTGCTTTATGAAGCAGATCCGTGTTTATATGCTTCTGTCTCTTCTGTCATGCAAATGAATATGAATTAACAAAATGCTTTAGTCTCTAAACAAAGTCATCAATCTGCTGTGCTTTAGATTTCAGTGTAACTCAACCCTAAATCTAATCTTTCAGTAACATAATATTCTGTTCAGTTCATTGTATCATTGGTATATTGTTTATACACTATTTTTTGTTAAAATAAACTTTTATTCAGCAAGGACTCATTAAATTGATCAGAAATGACAGTAAAGACATTTATAATGTGTTAAATGTGTAATATACACTGAAGACTGGAGTAATGGCTGCTGAAAATCAAGCGTTGCCATCACAGTAATAAATTACTTTTTAATATATTAAAATGGAAAATGTTAAATGTGTTAATATTTTACAATAGTACTGTTTTTACTGTAATTTTAATCAAATAAATGAAGTAATGGTCAGCATAAGATACTTATGAAAAGATACTTAAAAAAAATTCTTACTGACCCCACTCTTTTAAACAATAGTGTATCTACCCTATAGTATTGTGTAAGGATTTTGCATGGAAATGTTACCATAATTTGGACCTTTGCTGCTTTTTTTAGACAGACTTTGCTTCAGTCTTCTCTATAGATTGCTAATGAGAACCTTCTGGCTTTCCTGGATTTAAGGGACCACCTGCTGTGAAGGAAATTATATACTGCTCCTGTAAGTGTGAGGTTGTTGCCACTGTGAGTCTGAGCTGTGTTTTTACTAGTCACAGCTTTAACTATAGTCTCCTGTGTACAGGAAGCTCACCTAGGAGCTTAACCGTGGGCTCATGGAGAGACGTCCATGCTGAGAAGATAATGCCATCTCCACAGCGCTTGACTTCTAGTGTAGTTCAATGCTGTTAGTGCTGCCTCTACCTCATGCTTTGTCAGAAATCACATAACGTACTGCTGTTTGTGTCAAGTTAACCTGTGTCTTTCTGTTTGTCTGAAGTAGGCTATCCCAGAAGGCCAAGCCCGACCACACCCCTTTTTTGTGAACGACTGAATGCTTTACTGAAGGTACGACACACATTCACATTTCATGATGTCTAGTTTTCAACTTAGCATTAGCATTAGCATAACAAATGGTATGCTGGCAAATGAAGGCACTGTGAAATTTTCTTTTAATTCTTTTACAAAGAAAGTTTGATTTGAGAAAGAGAGAACGTGTCTCCGAATGAAGCCTTAGTCTGCATCTGATGAGTATTCATGATGGCAGTGTTTCCCCCCCTCAACCCTGTGGACTGTTTTTTTTTCTCCCGGGTTCAGGGAGTGCACCGTAGAGTGCAGCAATCACATTTTGACCGGGTGAGACAAACGCTGATGTCATGGAGGGTCTAGGGCAGAATACTTTGCCTTTAGCTCGCTCGTTTTTATAGATACAAAGCATTGGGCAGAATACTGATGGTCGAAAACAACACCGCATGTATGCTAAAGCAGAACAAAAGAGCAGCTATAACGGCATGTCATGCTAATTGTCACCTTGAGAAGCTCACAAAGCACTACTAGAATAATGAAGTCCTTTTCTCAGATCATTTTATCTTACACAGAAGGCTAACAGCCTACAAAGTCTCTCCCCATCCGCATTGTCTGTCAAGCCCTCCTGACCGGGAGCTGTCAAAATCACCCCTTCCCTCTCATTTGCATCGCTCTTGAGAGCATTTAATCTGTTCTTTCTCTCCTCCTCCTCTTCCTCAGTCACCTCTCTGAAGCTCTGTGTAGAGCCAAATCAGCACTATTTAATGATCACAGACAGGAGACCAAAAATTATTCAAATGTATATAAATCTATTACCTATTCAAAACTCCTTTGGAAGGGGATTTTAATATAACCGCACCTCAGTGCTAAGCTTATGTACACTACCATTCAAAACTTTGAGGTCAGTAAAATTTTAAAAGGAAATTAATAATTTTATTTAGCAAGAACACATTAAAGACATTTATTATGTAACAAATCTTGAAAAAAATGTATCATGGTTTCCACAAAAATGTTAAGCTTCCCAGTTGTTTTCAATATTGATAATGGTAACAAATGAATCCGCATATTAGAATGATTAGGATACTGAAGAGTAAGCTTTGCCATCACAGGAATGAATTACATTTTAAAATATATTCAAATATGAAACGTTTTTTTAAATTGTAATAATATTTCACAGTATTACCCAGGGTTCCCGTGGGTCCTTAAAAAGTCTTAAATGTATTTGTATCAAATTTAAGGCCATAAAAAGTCTTAAATTGTATAAGAAAGTCTTAATTATGATTTCAAGAAAATTTGAGGACAGAAAGACCAGAATTGCGATATGGCTTAATGTGACGATTAAACTTCAAAAGACTATGATTCATTAAAGGGATAGTTCACCCAGAAATGAAAATTCTGCCATTAATTACTCACCCTCATGTCGTTCCAAACCCGTAAGACCTTCGTTCATCATCAGAACACAAATTAAGATATTTTTGAAGGAATCTGACAGCTCTCTGACCCTCCCATAGACAGCAAGGGTCCTTACACGATCAAGGTCCAGAAACGTAGCAAGGAGATCGGTAAAATAATCCATGTGACATCAGGGGTTCAACCATAATTTTATGAAGCTACGCGAATACTTTATGTGCGCAAAAGAAAAAAAATAACGACTTTATTCAACAATTCGTCTCCTCTGCATCACCGTAGCGCCATTTTGGAGAGTATCCGCGTGGCTCTCAAAAATGGTGCTACAGGGTGACGCGGAGAAGACGAATTGTTGAATAAATAATTTTTCTTTTTTTCTTTTACGCACAAAGTATTCGCGTAGCTTCGTAAAATTATGGTTGAACCCCTGATGTCACCAAAAGACGCTCTGTCTTAACTTTTAATCAGAACGCAGAACAGCTGTATCACAGGCGCAGCAGCCTAACTAACTCGCTCGTCTCTCCCGCATTGACCCTATAACTGCCGGTGCAGCAAAATAAACAGCAATTTCACAAAGTCTGTGTGCTATACTACATTCTTTATTATTAAATGAAGTAATTATTAGAACAACGTCAGTCTACATTAATCGACACATTCTTAGGAAATAGTGGGTTCACAGCGAATTATCAGAACTACTTCAGTAAGACAGTAATATCGTGCTTTACTTGGAAACCTAAAGCTGCACTAGGTATACTGTACATCACATATTAGCACAAAAACTTGATATTTTGAGCACTCGATTGAGAATGTACATATAGCCTAACGTATCAATCATACTTACAGGTTGTGCTTCGGAGAGTTTGTTAGTCCAAATAAAGAAGATTAGAAACCAAGATTAGAGAAGCAGTCCTTGGTAAAGTGACATGCACACAACAAAAGGTTCGAATTGTATTTCTGTGGTATCCTTGAACACAGCGTCTTCTCAACATGATGTAAACACA